TCTTAAGATTTCTTTCGGGCTTTTTTATAAATAGACAGCTGTTTTTGATAGTTTGAATTTTGAATCAGCTTTGAATACTATTATTTTAGTAAAATTAAAATCCGGCACCTAAAAATAAAATATGAAAAGCACTTTTTTCTATTAATAAATGAGGTTAAAGAAAAATAAAAATTTATTCATTTTTTAATTTTATCTATGACAATATTTTATTAATATTCATCAAATTTCAGCACAGTAATGATCATTCAATAAATTGAATTCATTTTTAATTGTTTATAACAAATTATAATTTTTAATATGCTTTTAAATGTCTCGAAACGTTAAGAAATAACAAAATTACGAATTTCAAAAATCGACCTCATCACAATAACTTCTTAATGGAAAATTATAAACACAAAAACCTATGTATTATTAATCATTCATAATAAGTAATTAAATTCTCATGTAATAATTAAATAAAATATAGCAGTGATAATTGTTGATAATCAGCACTTGAATTTGATTCTGGCCAGAATGGAGTATTTATTGGAGATTGGAGTTGTAGAAAATAACTCGTGTAGTAGTGGAGAAGTTAATTCAAAGTTTTGAGTTCCACTTATTCAAGTGATTGAGTGTATGACTACCAAAAGCATTGGATGATTATTCGAGAGAGAGAGAGAGTGCAACGTCGAAATAACTTAACTGCTTTCTTCGTCTGACTTGGATAAGAAGAAAAAGAGGATATATAACCCCCCGTGGATGGAAAAGGGTTTACGGTCCGTCAGACTGGCATACACGCCGAGCATCTTTCCTTCCATATGAGCGTCCAGCTGGTATCAGGTATGCAATCACACACAGGATTAAAAAGAAAGGGGGAGGGAATGAAGAGGTAGAGAAAAAGGATCCCAAGAAGAGGTGGAGCGTGAGAAGAGTCGAGGTGGGACACAAGTTTGTCTTTATTTTCTCGACGACTTGGCGAGATCTCATCTAAGGATTATCCCGTCTCGTGATGACGAGAGGACACGTCATCATACTCTATCTTCTTTTGAAATATTTTTAGTCCATCTTATAAATATTTTCAAGACAAATGTTGACAGATTAGCCTTCAAAATTGCTATGCTTTATTCATTATTTTATCACAGTGACTTTGACTTTACACGGAAAAAAAGTGATGTAAATCTACATGCGTAGGTGTAATTTTTATATCAAAAGTATAGTTAAAAAAAATGCAGTTAATTTTATTCTGGTTAAATGATGTTAAATCTACAATAGCATTTGCCGTAGAATTTACAATAATATTTTGCAGTATTTTTTACCACAGTTTTATGTTAGTTTGACATCAAATTTTTTACAAACATAACTATAGCATTTTACTAACCAGAAAAGATAATGAGTATGTTTTGAATTATCATCAAATAATTGTAATTACGAGTCATTAAGAAAACTGAGGAAAACAGTTTACAACACTTTAACAATTTACTGGTCATGAATTTTATTTCAAAATAGAAAATTCCATTGACAATACAAATTTCATTACATGAAAATATTATAATGAATACCTAGTTGTATCATCATGAGCCATTTTTATTTATTAACAAACATTTTATTATATTTCCTAATGAGAAATATTTACTAACTTGTTCTTAGTACAATTTTTGAAACTTTTCATTACTTTATACGCATGATAATGACTGTTAAACCGAGTGTTGTATAATGATTGATACAGAAGTAAAATTTTCCATTAATTTGCAGAACGTTTACTATGATTCCAAATTCTGGTCCTTCCTGACTTAAGTCTACAACTATAATAGAATCTTTTCAATCTTTGACCCATAATTTCTATCCATTTTAGAGCTTTGACATTGGAATTAGTACCAAATACAGATTTTATATGATTATCAATGTTATAATTAGGTATAATTGGACCATTAATGTATTTTTGAATAATACAAGGATTATAATTTGTAAAACACATTTTTAATTGATGCCTTAAAGTCAAAGTTAATAATATATTTTTCATTGATCCGGATATATTTGCGGTAGATTTTAATTCATGATTTTAGACTCAAATCTCATAGACCATAAATGCATTAGTGGTCCACATTTCAACATAATTGCAGGATAGTGAAGTTTTATATGAAATTTAAATTGTAGATGAGAAGCAAATTTTAAATACAAACTTAAAACTCTTCAATCAATGTTTTAAACAATACAACATGACTTCTCAACACTCTAGGTGATGTTATTATATCAACTATTTGTCTTAATTTCAGATATAATTGCCAAACACAGTTATCCTCTTCTACAAATTCACCAACCATTAATCCAAAATAACGTACAAAAAAGAGCATTTCTGCAGCAGACATTTTAATTTGTATATGATCGGCTGATATAATGGAGGCATATTTGAAAGTTCTAGTTTACCATAATTGAATGTATCGATTCTAGAATTAGAGTGTCTAAAGAAAATCGATTCTCAACAAAAATTAAGTGATTTTAAAACAATGACCATTGTATAATTTGCAGTGCCTTCCAACACATCGTGCATAATATCAACAGTCTGATTTATGCAAACATGGAAATCATCTATTTCATTAAAAATACATTTTTCTTTAATACCTGTCAGTGAATAATTGTTTATTTTAGACTCTTTTCATATTTTCTGGACTACGCAAAATCCTTACATTTTCAGTAGTTTGATTATTCATTTCAAGATAAGGAATTTCGCATATTCTACAGCAATAGTTTGCACTGAAGCATTCTACAAAACCGAATATTGAATGCATCCCAAGTTGTCACCCATAATAGCTCCACATTCAAATATATCTTAATATTTCATTTTTAATAGATATTGTTATACCATTTTTTTTCAGATCATTTAATTCTTCAATTAATTTTGCAAATATTGCTCTATTGCCAAATTCTTTTCGGTCATTAGAATAGAATAAACAAACAGAAAAATACTACTTAATCGTGAAGCATACTGCTTTGGAAGACATGGAATAGACATATATACAACACCTAATTTGTTTGTTTCCTGCATGACTTCCTAAAGCATTACCGACCTCCAAATCATCGAAAAAAATAAAAAGTGGTAAAAAGAATTTAGTTCCATGATTTTTAGTCTTAGAACGCCAAAGATCACCTTGTATAAATTAGATAAAATTTCTGGTTCATTTTTCAAATGCTCAACGTACTTTTTAGTTTTATCGTATAGTTCAGGTATACTAAAAATCGATTTTAATGTATTTTTAAAGGAATATATTGTCCAAAACACATCCTTGGTTCTGAAACAATAATTCCATTGCGTTTAGATTCTACAATTCTTGAACCAATTTATATTGAATAGGTAATACAAGAAATCCTTTGTCATAAACAAATATTTAATCTTCTATGCTCAGTTGAAAATATTTCAAAACAACTAATAGCAGAATTAAGTATACGTGGAATATCATGTAATGACAACTTGTTCACATTATTTATTAAATAATATTGAATTTGTTTTATTATATATGGAACGTAAAGTTTTCTAATAATTTTGTCAATTCTTCAACGATGAACTGAACACAGTTTCGTGGTATCATTGAGTTGTTATACAATGATAACCAGAATTTACCCAAAATGTTTCTAAATTAATAGAAAAATCATCAAATGTCATATTCATTTTGAATATGTAAAATGAATGTGATAAATTATAATTTATAGTCTTTTAACATTTAATTTTTATATCTATTTAAATCACTTATAAGACGATTGACACATGTAAATGATGAGTTTTTGTTTGTAACTTCATAAATGTATTTTTCTAGAAATTCCCAAACGTGTTCACACTCTACTGAGTAAGTTGCATTCAATGCGTGTATGATTTTAAAACATGTGTCTATTGCTTTTAAGGGGTAGGTAAAACATATCGCTGATCATTTATTACTACAAACGAACTTTCGATGTTATCTAATAGTCCAATGATGACTACAAAAGGCTGAAGAGTCAATTTATGCTGCTTGTAAATCCTAATTTTGCTTTCTATATATGGTTGTAGTTCATCAATAGTCTGTAGAAAAAAAAACAATAAAATTGAAACTGAAACTTGAATTGCAATGTTAAAAAAAATTACAACAGAGATTGTAATATTTTTTAATTCAAAAAATTCTGAAACACTTCGTTTTTGAAGGAGTTGAAATTCATAAAAATTTATTTACCTCTGCATGAAAAAGAAATGATTGCTTAATGTCAGTTATATTTGGTCTCCAATGTTTTCCTCCTGATTTTTTAGATTTCTTGTTTATTGTACCCAATAGTAATGGAAGTAATTCAAGGGCAATAATCTCAATATTACCAAGATCTTTATAGAAAAATATAGTCATGAAAATTACAATTAACGTTATATTTAAGTCGTTAAGACAAATGAAGTTACCTGAATCGTTCGCCAATAATATATTATTAGTCTTGAGGTATTGCGATACTTGATAATCTTTTCGTTTCTTACTAATATTAATAATTTTTTTGCAACCGATGGCCATTTTAGAATTAATTTATCAACTGCCTCGTTTATGAATTGTTTAAAATCTGATTCAAACTGTAAACAGAAAATTTCATTTGCAAACCTTTGTATTTAATACATGCATCAATATATTATAATACTTTTATTCAGAGGAATTAACTATGAAATTTACCAATAAATAAGCAGATGGTGTCTTCAATACATTGAATGTATTAAAATACATATCAATTCGTTCTGTATGATAAGCCAATCTTTCTTTAAAACTTTCTTGCCATTTTAAAAGCACTTCACTAAATGGTTCTATATGATTTTTAAGCCATAATAATGAATCACTCAACGGTAAAATATCGTTTGTATTGCTTATTTCATCTATAATTTAAAAAAATAATCAATAGAGATATTAGAATAGTAAACAATTATTGAATGAATAAAATTAAAAAAAAGCTAATTTCATCATTTTTAAAAAACAAAACTATTGAATAGTGTAAGTTATTCGAATTTAAAAAATATTTACGTTGATCTATATTAGAATCAGAGTAAGGATTTCTAATTCAAATAAAGTTCTTCTCAGATTGATATATTTATCATACAGAAGTCCTCTAGCACCAATAGGACCATTTGTGCCTTTTGTCCAGGGTGTATAATATAAGTCTTCTTCTTCATCAGGAAATAATTCTACTAGATCTTTTGTCAACTTTTTAAATCTCTCAGCTGTAATCCTAATTGAAAACAATTATAAGAAAGTTAATTTTCAACTTCCCAAAACATAATTTAAAATATTCCATCAATAGCTACGTACTTGAATTTTTTACTGTTTTCTAATTCTGATTCAATGATTACACTAGTGAGTAACCGTCGGTTTATTGTGTTCTTAAGATTAAATTCTGCTAGAATAAGCCTTCCACGAAAACATTTTAATATAGGTTTAATTTCATTTTGAGAGTTTCCTATATTCATTGACACAGAAAAAAGTAAATAAATACATTTGAAAGGAAGAACTGGAAATCTTACTGGATGATGTTGAAGACAGAGGCATAATAGGAATTTTCGATGTTGGAAAGATTTGAAGTTGGTGCAGTTTTTTTTTTTGGAATTGGAGAGATTGTTTTTTCATTAGAAATAGAATTGAGATTTGAAATAAAAACTTCATTAAGACCGCTGATAGTTGATTCAAGCAAAAGATTTGACTCTTCTAAACTATCATCATGATTTACATTATTATTGTTTTCAATTATATGAATACTTTCGTTATTAATAATAAAACACGATTTATTATATTTCGACATAAAATTGTTATATTCTTTTAAGAATTTATATCTTAATCCAATTTGTGGAATGAGTTCAACAATAAGGGCATCAGTTAAATTAGTAAAAACTTCTTTATCAACTATATTGACTGTAAAAGTAACAAAATTTGAGAATGAATATAAATTATATAGAGAATTGAGTTTAACCTAAAAAATTTTTTGAGTGAAACTATTAATTCCTCTGAACACTAATTATTATAAATAAATCAATTTTTCATATTTTAAATTTGAATAAAGAATACTATTGTTGAAATAGGTTTTTTACTTACTGTTGAAATGATCAATTAAATTTTCTAGATTCCACTTTTTTAAAAGTTGTTTAACAAACTCATCCATTGTTACAAACTTAACACACAATTTATACACAAATATCACTTTAATGTTGACAATGGAACAGACAATTTTGATTTAATAACAATCTCATTTATGATCCATCACCTTCTCGGTTTTTACACAAAGATAATATTACACTATATTTTTATAATGTATTTTCACGAACAATATACGTTGTCGATAGAAAAATCCACGCTTGAGCAGCGACTAAATAATACGAAAATTTTTATTTTGCCACTAACAATGTGATCTGTATCTCTTTCTCAGAAACTGAAGCTCAGGCGGCAAGAATCACAACAAAACAATGAGTGAGACTCGCAGTAGCGACGCGTGTCTAGATATTCTAAAATTACTCGAAACAGTTGATCAACTCTATTATTGCGATTTATTTAATTCTAGCGTTACTCAAAACAGTTACATAGATGGCGCTAGAATTTATAAATTCAAAAAATTTAAATAATTGATCGGTAAATTATCGATCAATAAATCAATGAAAAAATGTTTGTTTTTTTCGTATTTTTAATTATAAATTCAATTATCAAAAAATGAAATCATTTTTATTTATTCATTAACTAATTTAATTATCTTTTATATCTTATCGCAATTTTTAGTTCAATTAACAACAAATAATAAAGTAATCCGAACCTAATTATCACGTTAATTCTATTGCAGTTTGTGTGTAATCGTACCGCAGGCAAAAAAAGTTTTTTTACTGCACTTTTT